ACGAAACTAAATATAAAAAACGAAATCAATGCTTAGCTTGTTGCTGATTTTATTTAAACCGACAAAGCTAAGTGTCTTGGAATCTCGTTATTACGAACTTATATTTAAATTTCAAGTTTATATGAAACTACTTATTTAAGTCAATGATTTCTCTGAAGCTACAATACACATTACATTACATTACATACTACACAAAGACATTTGATACAGTGAAAATATTTCCTTCATTCTTTTGTGCTCAAAATAGTGTCGTTTAGGAAAATGTGTAAATCTGATAGAAAACCGTGTAGTCGTTTATCAATATCAATGGGGAATTATCAATCTATGGGGAAGGCGTATGTGCAGTGAACTTTTGATAGGCTGTAACGGTAGCGGTGTGATAGTAGTAGCGAATGAGGATGTCCTCTCTCATAATATTTGGCCTCGACGTCGACTTTCGAATAATCAAACGCTATCAAATTAGCATAACATATAACTGTGCAGAAAAATACGATCAAAAGCATGGGAAGTCACTTGTCATCATCCAATCACGTATAATGTAAAACTTATGCGATAAAATCAAAGTGATATAAACTTTTTAAAAAGTTACGACTTCAATATCTAAAAAGTATAAAATAATTAAAATATAAAATAATTGCTGCCGAAGGCGGTGCTAAAGACTGACTTCGGAATAAAGAAGGCAATACTTAGCTATATAATATACATGTAAGATTTGACAGACAGACAGATTTTTATTTTTAATAGGTATTATTTAAGGAATATGTAATATCAGATGTTCACTAAACATATAGAATATCGTCTCAGTAGTTACTTAAACATGTTCATCCCCTTTTTAAAACTACCTATGATATGTAACCTATTTCATAAAAGAAAAATTATTAAAAATGTTCCATAAAAAAGAAGTTATGCCCGAGAATAATCAAATATATACTGATCAATTAAGAACATCCTCCTCTTTTGAAGTCTTTAAAAACTGCAGCCTATATACATGTCCAAGACCTCCTTTTAATTCTGAATGAAAAAATGAATAATTAGTTCTCCCTGATCTAGGCGCTTTTTTATTTTATTTATTTTAAGCCAGTGCGTTGTTATCAACCACAATCCCTAGCTGGTAGTAAGTGGTGATATAGCCCTAGATGGTAAATTGCACTATCTTAGCGTAACAAAAGCCTATTCACTCTTGCTTCGAAGACGCTCAGATTGTATTCAGACGGAAAACTAGGCAAAAGAAAACAAAATACATTAGCGAGTTGGCAACCGTAGTAATTTTTAATTTTGAGTTGTGATCTGAAAGATGGTGCTGCACATTTTCTACTTCAGTTTCCTTCTGTCACTTCTTACGATACCCACGGTAAGATATGTGGCAGTGGATAATCTAAATTCAACACTACAATATCAAGAAAATAAATATCCTGTTATGTTTTTATTACGTATTGCACACATAATAATATTATCTACCATTGCGTTAGAAGCAAAATTAATACAAAACCATAACCTTACATAACACATTATCATAAAGCTTAATAAAGTGTATCATTCTGTGAAGAGGTGGTCGTAATTCGTTTATCACCACTTCAAGCTATAAAATAATGATAATAAATATTTATGAGATCGGCAAATTAAACGCTTTGTTCTCCGTAGGAACGTTTGGAATTCATGTCTCTTAATATAAACGCTGCTAAACACGTTAAAATGAATTACTTATAATTATAATAGATTTTTTTTTACTCTTTCCTCGACTTAAACAACTTTTTTTTATAATATAGTAGATCCAGACTGCAACTATATTATAGTTGTAGCACGGATGGATCGGCTTTACCGGAGATGGAACACGCTCTTACAGAGTACCGGCGTAAAATAGCAGCTAATTGCTGTTTCGTATAGTTAGTGTAGAAATCCGGAGATCCTTTTTACTGGAAACGGGGCATTCCATCTTAGTCCTCGGGGTGTAAACATATCTGCATTTTGATCCTCAATCGAGGTTAAATGTAAACGTCTATGGGCCACAGCATCCACTTACCATCAGGTGGACAGTGTGCTCATTTGTCACCCTTATTCTATAAAATAATTATACTCTTCAATTTTCGAAGTAGCTTTTAAATGTTCAGAATTTTAGTTTTTGAAACTATTGAGTGGCCTAAGAAAAATCACAACCTCAGTGTAACACCCAGAATGTCATCTTAAGAATTACTATAAAAATTCGCCCCCCCCTCCCATATTTTTCCTTATAATTAAAGTAATACCACCTATGGGGCTTAGTTTAACAAATAAAAAAAAAAATAAGGCAGAATGTAGGTATGGTTAGGTTAGGTTAGGTCAAAGTATTACATACTTTTGTAACATTTAATCTTTGCTTTTAACAATAATGTCTATAGATAAAAATATTTACAATAATTAACTAAAATTAATAAAATAATTTAAATAATTAAGCATTTAAAATTACACACAAAAGGTATCGCAACAATGTTACTAAATTAATCAAGAAAATTAAATAAGGATTTGAAAGGAAATTTGAAAGGACGCACACGCACAAGTAAGGGAGGGCGAGGACCTTCTACCGCAAGTAGCTTCATGCTTAAAAGAAGTCCTTAATCTAATACTAATTTAAGAATATTTTAGAAACAGTTAACTTTCATTTCATTTAAATTACCTCGCACGGACGCTCAAGATATGCTAAATACAATCCATATTTAATAATGGTATACGTATACAAAGGATTATAAACAAGTCACTTTGTATTGCTTAATAATAATTAATTCAATTTCTAAAAGCACGTAAATCAGGAATCAACGGGCCATTTTGCGTATTATACTCCGATAAACCCTATATTAATGAGTATCATCCACTTTCATAAAGCGACTTAATAGCTTGCGATATTTAGAATAGCTTCCCATTAATAATTTTCCCGTAAAGTTAATTTTGTATAATAATTGTAAACTCTTACGCCTATTGGACACGATCCTGACACACCTCCCTTGCTTCTATCACATCAATATACGCTCGTCGGTTAAATGTTATTTACATATTTAGAAACTTGAACTTATTGAAACAGTTATTTTTTAACAAATTATATAACAAAGGGTGGACTTTATGACTTTAGGCATTCCCTACCTTACAACCTTAGGATTGGAGTAATTTTTATTCGATATAGATTACAAGAATACCTATTGAAAGCCAATTATAGTTTTACTATTGATTCGGAAAAAACCTCTGTCCTAGGAAGAACCAGTAAGAAAACCGGTGGGACCATTCTTTAAGCATCAATTTAGGCGGTGGTCTAGGTGCGGTGAGAATTGTCGGCACGTGTAATTAAAATAATTATATGAAATTTTAGAAGGTATTTCTTTACTGGTTTATATCCATTTTATAATAACAAAGGTATATTACTTACAATATTAAATTATATTGTGTAGAAAACAACAAAAAACAAATACATACATCTATATACACACTTAAATATTATGAAGTATAAACATACATTTATCTATATTTATTCAATATACATTAACCTACTATATAAATTCATTCATTCATATAACAACAACAGCTAACGACACGATACTGTCAATTAAAAATAAGTTGTTTATTGCTATTATTCATTACCCGTTTCCCTCACTTATGGGCATTGGACATAATTCATAAATGTGCAAAACGTTTCATATAAGACATGAAATTCGGTCAGTACCTGCATAGGTTTAAATGTATAGATAATACCGCATGGATATGTGACCCTGGTGTCGAAGAGAGGATAATCCGTTTAATTTAATTGAAATAAAAATAAAAGAAAGAGACATGACTGTAACAAATTGATAATATTAAACCGCATCTGTATTTCAATTCTTATTTGAGGTTAGATGTAAATGTCTATGGGCCAGAGCATCCACTTATTTTCAGGTGGACTTTGTGACCATTCTATGTATATTCTACAAAAAACTTCTGGTATTCAAATATAATTCCTACTTTATACCACTATTTCAAATTGATATCAATTATGTTATATTTAAACAATGTAATGTTGTTTCAGACGTCTTAAGGTATTATTTTAATTGTTATTACGGTTAATTACGTTATGCGGCTTAAAGCATTATTTAGAGGATTAAATATATTATGATGATATGTATTATCTCATTTAAAAGTTTTTAACTTAGAATTGACCGCGTTGTTGTTCGAGTAGATAGAGTACGTGCCTTGGCTGATCATAAGGTCTCATTTTCGAAGTCCAGGTCGGACCAAAATAGCTGTTGAGTTTTTCTGCCAAGAAATTATCAGGAAGGTGGTGATTCTCCAGCATACTTCAGAAAGCACGTAAAGCAGGTTCTGCTGCGTCTGATCTATTTCCGTTCGTGTCACCGTACCGTACCATTGGACTATGACGGTGAGAGAGAAAAGCTGTGTTTGCGCATACACATAATCCTGTCCTGCGCATATAGCTAGCTAGTCTGCGTTGAGACTGGCCGCCGTGACGAGTGGTAATTTTAAGTTCTACTAAAATTAATTAAAAAGTATAAGCGGACTTCGAAGACGCAACAATAATTTAAATATTCTTTATTCAGAAGTCGAAATTATTGCAAAAGCCCCGACTCCAGAATGTGAAATTATTAAATTTATTTTTAGTTCTCTAAAATTGGCTTTTACTCTACATTTTAATAAAGATAATTGCCAATCACGCGACGTCGCGTGTTCCCAGTTCTCTTCAATTTGGGCCTTCACGCGACGTCGCGTGAAGTGTCTGACGAGTTTTGTATGAAGCGTACTGCCTGGGCTGGAGCGTTATCACAACGGTGTTTTTATGGGCCTCTAGCGAAAGGACTGAGCTATCGTAAAGTGGGCGTGGCCATCCAAATCATGCGATAGTTTTAGTGCTACGTAATTGGTTAGTTCGCTTAGCGTCGCCGCCCGAGCCGGACGGCTTTCTTGTTTGTTCTTAGTTAGTTGTGAACAAATAATACGTATTTTTTATAGTATAAAGTGATAATAATTATAATAAAACAAAATTTATAATGAGTGATTATCAACCTGGTACCTCTTGGGATACGAAACAATCAAACGAGATACTTTTGCGAGCGCAACCAAAACGTGTTTTGTTGCACGAATCGGATATTCTTGAAGCTTTAGGAAACTCTGATGAGGATGATTTTGTGGGAAATGATGAAGACGAAGATTTTTTATTGGGTGATGATGACGGAGACAGCTCAACCCTGGAGTCGGAAGAAGATGAAGAAGGAGTTATATCACCGCTACCACCTAGTGAAATTCGATTTTCATCTGCAGAAAGGGAGGAGTTGAATGAAACGATTGAAGAGTCAGCTATGCCACATGAGTCTCCTGAACCTGCCACCGAAGGATCAACCTCACACTGGAGTACTTCTTGCTCGTCTATGAAACAAATACCATTCGTTCGAGAGTCAAAGCTGCATGTAGAACCGCCATCACATCCAATAGATTATTTTTGTTTATTTTTCAATGAAGAATATTTGAGAATGATCGTGGAGTGCACAAACAGATACGCCGAATGTATGAAAAGCTCCAGTAAATATCGTCATGCACATATTTCAAGATGGAAAGAGTTGACCTTGAAGAGTTCAAAACAATTCTGGGCCCTCTGTTACATACTGGCACTGCAAAAATGAACCGATTGACAGATTATTGGAAGGGTCACTGGTTATATAAATCATGCTTTTCGAAATACATGTCAAGAAACAGATTTTTTATTATTTTACGTTGTATACATTTTACTCTCCCTGATGAAGAAGAAGACGTAACTGTTAGGCGTCTAAATAAATGTCAAAAAATCGTCGACAATTTCAATAATACAATGAATAATATATATTATCCAGGCCAGAACCTATCTTTAGATGAGTCGATGGTTTTATGGCGTGGCCGCCCATTTTTTCGACAATACATCCGAAAACGCCACAAGTATGGCATCAAATTATACGTGCTCGCAGAACCGTATGGTTTTATTTTAAATTTCCACGTGTTTGCCAGCACAGAAGATGAAACAGCCGGAAAGGGCCACACCGACAAAATTGTTGAAAAATTGATGCAAAATAAATTGGACATTGGCCACTCTATCTATATGGATAATTTTTATAATTCATATACATTAGATAGTAAACTGTTGGGTCAACTTACTTATTGTACCGGCACTTTCAACAAGAAACGTAAAGATAATCCACTGCGAAAAAATTAAAAAAGGCGAGAATATCTCGCGTTATAGAAATGGAGTCCATATTGGTAAATGGAAAGATAAAAGAGAAATCCATTATATATCGACAGAGTTCGCTGACGAGATGCAAGAAGTTACCAGTAAACGTGGTATTGCAACACTGAAGCCATTGGCTATTATAGTACGTTATAACGAAAGCATGTCAGCAGTTGATCTTCAAAATCAAATGATTTCGTATTACCCATGCGAAAGAAAAACTTTACGTTTACTTTAAGTTTGGTAAATTCTCGTTTATTATATAACAAGTTCTCTGGAAAACCTAAGCTTTCATTATACGACTTTAGGGAGAAAATCATTGAAATTTTTTACCTGAAAATTCACAAATACCTGAATCCTCATCGAGAAATCGAAGTCAACAAAGTCATAAGTTGACGAAAATATTCAAAACAACGGAACGGATAATAAAAACTGGGCCAGAAAGAAAAGTTCAAGCAGTTGCAAGAAAAGATTGCAGAAATTGCTACAAAAATAAAAAACGAGTGCAGACGATGGAATGTAAGGATTGTCCTGATAGTCCGCCTATGAATGAATTCATCAATGAATATACTTTATTGCACACCACAAACAAATTTACAAAGAACATAACAGAGAGCAGATTACATGTACAATTTGGCGGCCTTATCGCTACGTAGCGATCTCTTCCAGGCAACCAAAAGTGTAAAGGAATAAAACAGTGAGTGCTAGGTAGGTAGTGCAATATAAATATACCTAATATAATATCAATACATGCAATAAAATAACATATAAGTAAATAACTAATACATTAAAAAATATGATACACATATACATAGGTATATACATAAACATACACACACAAGTATATATATATACATACATATACACACATACACATAATATATACACATATATACATACATATATCCTCAAATATATACCACTAACAATAACATAAACAAATAAGTACAAAACTACAAAATCACATAATTTATCCTAATGATTTTCGAACGATTGAGACAAGTAATGCTCTTTAAGAAGTCGCTTAAAGACTACAATAGTCTGAGCTTCGTGTAAATACAAAGGTAGGGCATTCCAGAGCTTAATAGACTGTACAGTAAACGATTTATTAAAGAAAGATGTATTGTGAGTTGGTACCCTTAAAATGAGTTTTCTTGAAGAGCGTAAAGGTTCCCCCTGGAAGCCCAACAAAACTAAATTTCTCCTTAAGATAAGGAGGAGTAGAAGGGTGAAATAAGACATAGTACAGAATAGAAAGAATATGCATGTTCCGGCGAAATTGGATAGGTAACGCACTTGAGACGTGAGCGAAATTGGGAAATGTGGTTAAATTTGCGCAATCCAAATATGAACCGAATACTAGTATTTTGAATTCTCTCAAGCTTAGTTAGCTGGTCTTTAGTTATGTCTACATAGCTTGCGTCGGCATAGTCGAGAATCGGAAGGAGAAGAGACTGTGCGAGCATAATTTTTGTAGGAATGGGAAGAAATGATCGAAGGCGACGCAGTGAACTAAGAGCGACAAAGGTTTTCTTACTTACCTCATTCAGTTGGCGTTTCCAATTTAGGGAACTATCAAGGTAAACACCAAGATTTTTGACATTGTCAAATTAAGGGATCACAACCCCATCGAATACAACAGGTGGTATGGAGAACCAGTCAATTCTTGAGATAAAGCTCTGACTACCAAAAATGATAGCCTGTGACTTTTTAGGATTGACATTTAGGCCATATGATTGACTCCACTCATGAATCATATTTAAGTCATTGTTTAATGTAGCGATTGCATTTGGCAAATTCTCAAGAGTTGACTGGGTGTAAATCTGGACATCATCAGCATACATGTGGTAGAGAGAAGAAATTTTATGAGTAATTGAATTAATGAAAATGGAAAAGAGTAAAGGTGACAACACGCCACCCTGCGGCACGCCTGCAGTAACATCACACCAAGATGAGTGAGTTTCATCAACATGAATACACTTCCGACGGCCACAGAGATAACTTTGAAACCAGTCAATTACTGATGGAGATATGTTAAGGGAATACAACTGACTCAACAGTATATCGAAATCAACAGTATTGAACGCATTGCTGAAATCTAGCAAGGTCATGACTGTGAGTTGTTTATTATCATACCCCACCGTATGTCATCAGTAACTTTAATTAAGGCAGTAGCCGTACTATGACCGGGACGGAAACCGGATTGTAAAGAATTCAACAAATTGTGCTTATTAAGGAAAAGTGTCAGCTGTTGGCAAATAAGTTTTTCAAGGACTTTAGAAAGGAAAGGTAAAATCGAAATGGGACGGAAATCAGTGAGGTTGACGGGATTAGATTTCTTCGGAAGGGGTATAACATAAGCACTCTTCCAGGCTTGTGGGAATTTAGAGGAAGATTCACAGGCGTTAAGCAAATGAGTGATAATGGGAGTGATAACATCAAGGAGAGGAACGATCATATTACGGCTAATGCTGTCGCTACCGACAGCATTTGAGGAGATGGATAATATGATTCTCTTAACATCACATACAGTAAATTGACTAAAAGCGAACGGAGAATAATTAGGAGTCGGACTTACAGAAAGAGAACGAAGTGTTTGCAGTTTATGTTCACTATCAAAAGAGTTAGAATATCATTGCATGTGCATGTACTGTTTTTTTATGTTACATACTTGTACCAAAAACTAATTTACCAAATATTATTTATGTTTTGATAAACCTTTAGATCTGATTTATTTACGAAGACTGATTAGAAATATATTTTCCTGATTGTTATCCTAATATAGTAAAGTTATTATAGTAGTTTTTTCCTAAAGTTGCTGTTAATTATAATTGTAGACTTCGGTGTCTAAAATATTTAGAAGATTTTTTTATGTTGCATGTTTCTTTGATATTTTTTATTTTTTGTGTTATATAATTCAAATAAAAATTATTGATACAAAAATATTTAATTTTATTACATTTGAACTCATAATTGCAGAAAAGTGCTAAGGTATCCCAAAACTCGACGTCACGTGATGGGGCCCCTAATGATAAATGTACACACCACATGGCCGATCACGCGAAGTCGAGTGATATATAACTATATTATTTAAAATATTAAATATATATACTAAAACCATAAACACACCCGCAAATAGTATTTGCTGTACTTAAGAGTTATTTCATAAAAAAAAGTTTTGGGCCACCAGCAGAAAACTCCAATTTTAGCTTTGGCAATGAACGTGTTAAAATATTAAGTTCTAGACTCTTTTAAGTTATGATTTAATGGTCGACAAGGAAAAAACTACGCTCTCACAGAATACCAGCTTCGAATGATAGTTTAATGCTGTTTTGTTTCATACGGTGAGTGTGGAAAACTGGAGACCCTCTTTACTGGAAACAGGGCATTCCATCTTAGTCCATCTTAGGGTGACAACAGATCTGCATTTTGATTTATAATTGAGGTAAGATGTAGATGTCTACGGGCTACAGCAACCAGTTACTGGCCATCAGGTGAATTGTGTGCCCTTATCGTATAAAAAAATCAAGGTAACAATTAAAATGTCGTCCGAATATTGAAAAGTTTTCTACCTTAAAACTTGGAGTTTTTATTTTTATTATTGTAAATTTAAAATGGTACCTCTCCTAAAGTTACCGTTACACTCTTACAGCCTACCTAAGTCCACTGCTGAACATAGGCCTTCCCCATAGATTGTCACATAGAGATTTGCCATAGGTGCCACGTTGGCCAAGCGGTTTGGCAGCGCAGTTTTTTATTTTATTTTAGTCGTTATTAGGAAGGCGCTACTGTCGATCTCCTAGTTTGTTTCACTCTGTCACCTCTTAAGACACACACGGGATGGTATTGGGTCGTGGATATTCTAACACCGCCACTACACGGTCAAAATATTACTTAAGAAAAAAAATAATAATCATTTAAATCGGTTCACAATTAAGGAAACTATCGCATAACAAAAATACAAATGAATTTATAAATTTTTTGAAGTGGGCTAAAATATAACCTAGGTGGGTTATATTTAAGCCCACTTTGATTACCATAAATTACCGTGACTATGCTATTTATGTTTGAAACTTGTGGAAAAACTTTCAAGGTTTCAACACTAGTTTTGCTTTATAACTCTATATTTACCATGCAATCTATTATTTCTACAGGGTCTTTAAATAGGAGTAACGTATAATTTAGATTTCAAGGCGCTGTTTGTTTTATGCTAAAATCATAAAATGGGTATGTATAGCGGGTTTAAATAAGTACATTTTTCATTTCGGTAATTTAAAATACATACATATTTTACTTTGACATATTTTACTAAGAGGACAACACGATGACACCTTTGGTAAACATCCGTCTAGGACATCCCTCGTCAACTATTTCATCAGCACCATAATTCTCATTTTTTTGTGTACCAATAAAAATTTCTTTATC